TTTTGGGTGTACACAATGACATTAAAGGAAACAAAGTCCTGGAGTCAAGAATTAGCTAGGGTGCAAAGAATGAGCAACAGTTGCATTTTTGAAGTGTGCTTCTCATTTTTCAGTGTTCATTTTGACACAGACACATAGGTCTTAATTCTGCGTGTGCAGGAAGAAAGAAGACTTATATGTTTAAGACAGCTTTGGGAGTATGGTGTTTGTAACCTCAGGAATTTAGAACCTTTGTCTTGCTAGAGACTGTTTGTTCCCTGTGGTTCGGAGATTAGCTGTTCACCTTTACACTCCATCTCCGTGTACTGGATTCATAGGAAATAGCCATGTTTTTTCTTTAATGATAATGCTTTGTTCCAGTGGGAATTTGGTTGCTGGCATGACACCTTTTGGTTCCAGTGGGAAAATGTGTGCCTGGGCCTTTCAGCAATGTTTACTTTAGATTTCCTGCACAACAGTGTCTTCTTATGTGATGGTCATCTGAATTCCTCTTCCCACAGGTGAAAGTGTCATTCCACACAACTCTGGAGTTACTTACGTATCAACATTTGCCAGATGCCCAGCTGCTTCCTGGATTCCAAGTGCTCCAGTTTGAGAATGGAGAGAGAAAGCTGAAGTTTAATCAAAATCTGGTCATTGAACATAGTAACCACACTACCCAGGTAAGATCAGAATGAGATCTCTGGGCCCTGAGAAAGGGCTGTGTTTTAGCAGCATCTCTGACTCAGAATCAATGTGCCTTAGGATTTACTGGGCTTTGAAATACACCCACCTCTAGAGTAAATGGTGTCATCCAGTTAAAGTGAATGGCCACGGGTTTGCCAAAGGAGACAGCTCTCTATTGAGACTGCAGGTGACTTTCGGAGGGACAGAGCGATTTGGACGGAGCACCCTGGTGCTCGTACCCCAGCTCTCTGCATAGCATGACGGGCTGATGATACGGCTCAATCAAAGGGCAGCACACCCGATGTCAGTGTGACTCTCAACGTCCTTCTGAGACACGGGGTCAGGACTCTCTCGGCAAATGTGCCAGCGACTGAGTCACCAAGCATTGCCTCCTGCAGTACCCAAGTGCTTCTTGAACGTCTCCCGAGTCTGTCTAATTCATGTGGTGTGGTCACAGCCCACACACATTTAAAGACCGATCCCTTCCAGATGGAAAGCTACAAACTCCCCCAAGTCTTCAGCAGTTCTAGTGCACTGCAGGCATTTTTTTTTATTTCACACCAGGTATTTCGGAGGACTGATCTGCGTAAGATCCAAGCACCATATCTAAGATACAGTCGATTTAATAATAATCTTGGGCAATTTGCACAAATTGAATGACTCACAGTGGGCCATATACAGTCCTAAGGGATGACAAGATGCTGTAATGTCTGCATCTCTCAGAAAACCCTCATAACAAATCAGAATGTTCACTCTGTGTTACTTCATTAAGACCACAGTGTCTGGTTTGAAAACCTATCCCAAAACAGTAAAACAAGCAACAACTTAATTCACTCAAAGCTGCAGAATGGGGAATTGACTCTGACAAAAGAACACAGAACAACTACTCTTGATTCAGTGCTTGGGGTTAAGAATGATCCAGCTGTAGCAGGTATTATTAAAGCTCTATAAAAGTAAGTGGTTTTGTTTTGTTTTTTTTTTCTCCTTTCCCTTTCCTCTGTTTTGCAGCTGGTCCCAGTAACTGCATACCTCACTGTTCCAGTTCTGGAGCTCTCTTGTGACACGGTTGATTTCAAGACCTGCTTTGTTGCACAGACCAAGACTGAACATGTCTTCTTGTGTAACAGGAGTGGCTGTAGAAGTTACTGGGCTGCTTTGCTGGGTATTCTGGTTTTGCAATTGGATTTCCTTGTAACATAGTTTTGCTCTTCAGTGTTTTTATTTAGTAAGACTGGATGCACTCGCTCAATATATAGCCAATGTATGATGACGTTGGCTGCAAGTGTATCAGGTCTGCTTCTGTTCTCACTTATGTGGGCTTTTTTTTTTTTTTTTTGACATCAGTGTATCTCTACTGATTTCAGCAGTTAGTCCAGATGGAACCAAAAGACTGAATCACAACCCTCACAAGTACTGGACATGCTTTGCTCATTTATAACGCTGTCCTAAGAGGCAACAAGAAGCAGTAGCTCCTCATGACTTCAGTTTGAGCTTGTGCCTAACAGTGTTAACAACAGGTGGGCTTCGAAAGAAAGATCATCAGGGCCTTATTTTGACGTGGAGGCCACTGATCACTCCCCTTGATTAGAGGATGACAACAGAAACTGGCCACATGCACAGAGAGCCTCTGATGATAGTGCAAGACATGATTTACTAGTTGGCGCATTGTTTTGAGTGCTACGTGCTGTGCAAACTTGTACAAAGGGTCTTGTATTGCTTTGTTTGATATTTGCCCCTTTCATTGCAGATGAACAGGAAAGGCATAACGACGTGGAAGTCTTTTCTGTCTCCCCTACTAATGGCATTTTGGAGGCACGTGAAGGGGACCCACCTACCAAAGAGATTCTGCAGATCAGCTTTACTGCAAGGTACGGTTAACAGGACTGAAATCTTGCTGTTATTCCCCGTCAAGCCCAGACTTCTATTGCGAGTAGTCACTGAAAGCAAAGAGCAGTTCTGCTCTGTTCTTGTGTTATCAGGCTGCTCTTTTTGCTTCTAACACTTGCTAATCCTGGGCTTCCAGCTGGTACTTTTTCCATATTAACAGTATTCCCTACACTGCTCCTGTATATGGGATTTCTTTTGGATTTGGCACCCAGAATTTCAGACCCGAGATTTACCCACTCAAAATCATGCTGTTTCAACAGTTGGCATGACACACAGACTACGTACCACTGGATAAAATTCCTTTTTTTAGGGCAATGTCTTCAACAGAGGGCAAATCTCAGGCCTGTAATTCAGTGCAGAGGCTGATAGAACAGTTGAGTCCTTTATGCATCCACAGCACTTTATTAGGACATAGGGAGAAATGTGTCTGGAGTAGTTCAGAATTCTAGTAAAGCATGTTTGTCATGCAGGAAAGTGCAGTGTCTTTTGCAGTCAGTCTCGGGGACCTTCATTATAGTTTGTGGCTTCTCTCTAGAAGAAACTTTTGCAAGTCCTTTACCTCCCTACAGGCATTCAGAGTTAACTCCCCATGAAGCAAATAGAGCAAAATGTTGTTCTCATACAGTGATACAATTTGTTTTACCCTTGCTTAGTCTGGTGCAATGTTTAGTGCTAGAGTCATGTTGATGTTTGACAAGAAAGAAAAAAAAAAATCCATGTATTTTCGTTGCCTCTAATCCAAAGGTTTTCTACACAACGAAGATAATGTGAGCTGCAAGCAAATGACAGCAAAGAACGTAAGAGAGCAGATGAAAATTACTTTCTTTGTCCTATAAACATCTAATATCGTTCTAATTATGTTTATGGACATCTTATCATTTTGTCAAGGCTAGGAATTAGTTGTGAATGGCTGAGGTAGTGACCTAAAGCCTTTAATTTCTTTGCTCTAATTAGGGAGCTGCAATTCCTGTAAGAAAATTCAGCTTCCCTTACAAATTATTTTCTTGGAAGTTGTTACACATGGTGGCAGACAGTTTAAGACAAGTCTATCCCAGTGATTTCAGAGAACTCTGAACACTGCTGACAGAGAAGTTTCAAGAACCAAACTACAGGTGACACAAGTTACTGTCGTAACTTCCATCTCCCTGGAACGGGCTGTGAGATCTCCACCCCTGGAGCTACCGAAACCTCAGTGGGACGAAGCCTTGAGCAGCTGCTCTAAGCTGTCCCCGCTCTGAGCAGCGTGGTCGACCAGAGACCTCCCCAGGGTCCCGACTGCCTAAATTTTCTGGAGCGCTTCTGAATATGCCTGAAGCACTTTTTGTCTGACAACAGATACGCTAATCAGCATGTCTGGAAGTACCAGAAAGCAAAAATGTTGCTGTATAGCAGCCAGCTCGTCTGTTCAGCTCCAGACAAAGAATTCCCAACACAGCAGAGCTCAGGACCACCATGGCATTAGTAAATAATTATATGCAAGGTGTGAGGTGATCTTAATAATTCACCTCTCTAAATCAGTGGTCTTCCTACAGGGGAATTTTGTATGAGAAGGAAAAAATAAAAGTTGTCTGGCAGAGCAGGCTTTTGCCTCAGGCCTTTACAACAGCCATCTCTTAGACGCAAAGATGTCCTTCAGATTAACAGTCTCGGTAGTGTTGGGTAGCGTTAGCCTTAGGCAAATTATACTTTAAGACTTCCACCTAGTGCAAAACTACGCTTGCCATAAGCTTTTTGCTGTTGATTTACAACCTGGACTCCATTGACTGCCCCTCGTCCTAGGGGAGTTGACAGAAACTTTTCCATTTCAAACTTTGTCTGTCACAGGGATGAGTTTTCACATCAAGGCAGCACAGGTATTTGCTCCCAAACACTAGGCCCCCCCCCAGCAGATCACAAGTAGGAAGATACTCAAGTTCTTCTTTCAAACATGAAGTTAATAATCCAATGTCTTTACTTCATGTACAGACTGGACCATTCTTCTCAAACATCCTATATGTAGCTGTGGGATGTAACACTATGAAGTGAGATTGCCACCCACAGACTTGACATAGTGCTTGTGACTAGGAGCAGTTTATGCTTTAGGGAACAATTCTCCCCTCTTTCCTCCACAAAGTAACTAATCTCATCCTTAAACACAGAATTGCATCTAGCTGTATGTAACCAAACTGTCTTTTTGCTCTGCATTTTAGGAGCGACATTGAATACGAAACTATCGTGACCATTACTGGAATACTGGGAGAGAAGCCTTGCAAGCTACAGCTCAGGGGACGAGGAACATACGATGGAAAGTATGAAGACCTGTAATTTAAGCAAGACAATGTGGGACAAATGTCAAGGTAATGGGGTTGGATGCAGATGTGCCATCAGTTGAGCCTGTATTTCCATCTATGTCAGTTGTTTTAACATGGACTGGAATTTTAGCAGAATAAAATTTTAAAGTTATGAGGAAAAAAAGTTCATGGTAATTTTTTTTAAAGTAGTCATAATCTCATTCTGTGCTATTGCTTTTATTGCTGTGATAAGCTTACCGTTACCTACAGAACCAGGCTCTGCAAAATAATTGGTTTTAAATTGCAAAGCTATGGTAACAGGCCAAAACCCTCTGCATATCACAGTATGCCTCAAATGACAATTAAAGACTGTTTGTACCTTAAAAAATAGCTTTTGTTTTGCCTTGTTTATTTGTTTGACATTAAAATGGACATTGACACATAACAAAGGCAAGAATTAGTGAATAGGTCAGAATCCCCCAGGCTGTTTTCTCAGTGCCTTACATGAAAAGGGGAAGAGCCAACTTTCCCTGGACTCCTTGGAAAATTACCAACCTGCATGTTTCATCATGCTTGGGTTTTGAGAGCATCCCCTTCAGCTACAGAGGGAGGAACCCTTCCTCCTTTTAATTCTTTCCCCCCACATGGTTCCCATTTACTCACACTTCTCTTGAAATGTTTTTAGTATTACTTTAGCTAAAGGTCACTGAAATTCCCACTTCTGAGCCTGTTAAGTTTTCCACTCCCGTCATATAAAAGGTTTTTGTTAAAGGCAGTATGTGTGGGGAGGAGGGGGCTGCAATCCACACTGAAGGAGAACAAAAGATGTACAATAGCTGCCTTCTGCCTAGTTTAAAACAGGCTTGTACTAGCAATGAGAACTCATTTTATACACAGGACCCTCACTGTAAAGAAAGGACCCTCGAAGATGCTAATGCCCCTCTGCCCCCTCTATATAATTTAACTGGTTTTGCTCTAAAATATAGCACATGTGATTGCCGAGTGAGGCAGGCTATAGAACAAGAATGAAAATATCTCTGTTATTTGAAGGTCGTGATTAGCTAATCATCATAAAAAGAAAACAAATATATTGCAAAACCCCAATTGTATTATTAAGTGCAAAAACAAGAGCCAGGACAAAGAACTTCAGTCTGTGTTACAAAATTAAACTTTGCTAACATGTCAAAGACGACGAGTGTGTTTCTTTTTCAAACTGTTAGCTCTGAGTTTCAGTGATCTTTCTGCTCATGAGAGAGAGAACAGGTAAGGGAGACTTCACAAGATAAATACACATTTGTATTAGCACTGAAGTACAGAGATGTCACTGATGTTCGCCTAAGTGCTTGCAGTAAGAGTAATGCTGAAATCTGTTTTATGTTAGGTAATTAAATATTATTGAGCATAAGCTTGTGCTCTAAGTTAAGAGTCACACAAGCTGGTAATTAGAAATGTGTTGTAAAAGATGGAATGGCCACTTTCAAACTCCTGGCTTCTAGCAGTTCAGCCGAACCTTTCTATTCAGGCACCTCCTGTGTATGTTACATTCTAGTTCTTCCACTTTCCCCCACTGGAGCCTTGAGAGCAGCTTGGTTAAAATCAGGAAGCTGCAGCACATCCTCCAGCACAGGGACAATTTAAGACATAGCCAACTTATGACTTGGATAGGACAGACAGAGTTGTAAAGGAAATGATGTTAAGTCTCTGCACGGCTTTCAAAACAAGCTGTTCTAGACTTCTTGCAAGATGGTGAAATCTTTTAAGAAAACCCTGGAAAAGCCTTTACCTGTGCACTGATGTTTTTGTTTTGAGCGACCCTTTTAGACAATCTGTCATACAAAAATACTGTACCATGAACTACTACTCTCTGGTAATATTCACAGAATAAAGGGATCGATTAAATTAGAAATATGCATTCATCATCACCACACAAGAGCCTGGAGTTGAACTTCAGCTGAACTAATTTCTCTTCTCATGTCAGGATGCTTTTTAACTCTGAAGCAAATGCCAGTTTTGCATTTTCCCACCTGCTTAGCAGATCTGTACGATTTATTTTACTTCACCATTTGTGCCTCAAATTTGTAGATCTAGTCATGAATCCCTAAATCCACTTGATTTCACAGTGCAAATCATTTCCTGTTACTAGAGAAGGCAGAGAATTAGCTGTCCTGTTGTTTCGTCAGTACACTGGAGTTTAGTTCCCTGGGTACTCAAATACTGCTGCAGCGCCCATGCCAGTTCCAATGCACATTGATACAACACCATATGCTCTGAAACGGAAGAACACATGGAATTAAGATGACAGATCAGTTTTAGATCATCTGGGGAAAAAAGAACACAATAAATTTGAGCTACCCACTGCTCTCCTGTGTCACCAAGAGATTCTAACTCTAGAGCAGGTCCCGGTGCCCTGGAGTTCTTGCAGGGTGTTGTTTGCAGAGCACGTGGACAGAGGTTTCTCTGCCTGCTTTCTGGAGAGTGTGCCAGAAGCAACTCCTCAGACATATGAGCAGCAAGCTCAAGCTAGAAGAACTCCTTTGATTCAGGTGGGTTGAGGAAGAAACTCTTCCTCTCCTGCCTCCTGCCACTGCCCTTCACAGGGCTTTGCTATGTGGAAGTTCAAGGTAAATTTGGATAGTCAGATGACTTGCAGTTGGATTTGTGGAAAAACAGAGTGGCAAGCCTGATTTCAGAGCAAGTTCTTCCACTTCGGTTTGAGGTGGTTTATTGTTACTACCCGATTTGCTTGGCATTTAACAGCTTGCCACCACCATTACTCTCCCCTCTAGGACAGGGCACAGCTCTTCCTAAGATGCAAGTGCAGCGACACTCTATGTGCCAGCCCCAAAGGGAGCAGTGACAGAGCCAGCCAGCAGCACCTACCAGCTTTATTCCATACGTCAGGAAGAGCCCGAGCCCTGGGCAGAGAGCTGGGACCGGACTGTCACAAAGCTGGGTGCAGCCCACCCTTGCAGAGCCACCAGCTCTGACCACCGACTTGCTCCTCTAACGCTGCACGGTGGAGGTGTCTACCCCAGGGCCCTGCACCACCACGGACCAGGAGAGACTCCGTGTTCACGGGCAGCGAGACATGACACAGCCCTCCCTAAAGAGGGCCACTGGGAATTTGCATGCAAAGCTATCAAAGGGATGGAAAAAGCTTAACCCAAACTGATGGTTACCTCTGAGCCTAAGTTACTTACATACACATAAGGCATTAAGGCTAATTACTGTTCCTCAGTGCTCACCTTTTCCCTCTGCGCTTCAATTCACTGAGCAAAGTGACAACTTGACGAGCACCAGTACAGCCCAGTGGGTGCCCCAGTGCTATTGCTCCTCCCAGGGGGTTGACCTTCTGCATGGGAATGCCCAGCTTTTCAACACAGTACACAGCCTAGAAAGACAGAGGGAACAGTTTCATGGAGATGCTCTCGCCTCTGTTTATTCTCAGCTCTCCTGCAATAGAGAGCTAAGAGGACTGCAAAGACGACTGGTGATCTCGTCCACAAACAAAGAGAGCGAGCAAACCATCCTAGGCAGCTCTAGGGGCTTCAAAAGATTTGTGCTTAAAATGAATTTTGCTCAAACTACGTTTGTTATTACACAAACTCCACATCATTGTGTCAGCTGCTCTTAAAGTATGAAACAGTTAGCACTCGAAGGCCTGACTCCAGCTAGACCCTCTTTCCCAGTGGAAAGGAGTGGAACTACATTACTAATCCAAAGCACACAGAAGTGAGCTAAGCCTATCAACTCCATCTCAAACTCAGCCCACTACTTCTTGACAGGCATGTCACAGATTTGTGGAAGACACAGTAGTGGAGTTTCTACCTTTCATTAAGGACCTCCAAATTAGTGAGTGCAACACATTCACACTGACACCACCCAATAACAAATGACAGCCCTTGTGAAACAGATTCTGCAAGTTGGTATGAGGATACAATAGTAAAGATTACATTCTTATTCAGTGGACATATTTTTCTGGTTTTGTTTGGTTTTTTTAAAATATTAAGCTGTATAAGCAATGCCCTGCCTTTTTTTTTTTTTTTTTTTTGAGGGAAGGGGAAAATAGCCTGCACATGTTATTAACATTTGGTTGAAGATATAATATGTGGAACAAGTCTGAATCTTAATTTGCAGACCAAGCTGAAATATACTCAGCTACCAAGCAATGTAGCAACTCAGACAGGATGATCACTCACCTGGCTTGCAAAGGCTTCATTAATTTCATATATATCAATGTCACTCAGAGTCAGACCTATGGTTCAGAAAAGTCAGGATTTAAAAGGAGATATTTTCACCTTATGACTATATCAAAGAGAATAATTCACTGACAGCCTCTCTTTATGAATCCCAGTTCTACTCCACTAATGACAAAAAGAGGGGAACCTTGGCTCCATGTGGGCTATCTACACCTGTATGTGTGTTTATGTACAACGTCTAAAGACTGCAAAAAATGTCACATTCATGGTATTGTGTCACTGAGTTTGCCAAGTTTCCTTAGATTAAATGTGATTTCTTTGCAGAGGGATTAAAGATTGAAAGGTATTTTGAGACTGAAAGATAAAACTATAGCTGAGCTTGCGACCATAGCAAAGATATGCGGACAACAACAATAATCATCAGCTATAAAAGCTATTTAACCTGATGAATATGATAAGAACCCTGAGGAAAGCCTGTTCCACTGTTCAGATGCCAAAATTGTAAAGAAAAAAAACCCAAAACAAACACAAACCCCACACTCTGGTCATATTAAGGAACAAAAAACAGCACTACGTGATCACTAAATCACTTGTCACATGTTAACTGCTTGTTGAGATCATGCGGGGATTTAATCCTGAGCTTCTCAAAGGCATGTGAATGACAATTTATACATGAGTACAAGTAAACAGTATTACAATAATCCCAGTCGGAATCTCTTTTAAGGTTTTGAATTTAAGTTCACTGTTCCTATGGCTGATAGCTGCACATGCTATAATAGTATAATCTTAAATTTCAGTCCACAGAGTCTGATTTGCCAAACACTGTACGAATGACAAGGGGTTCTTACCTGCCTTCTCCACAGCTACAGGGATTGCGTAGGCTGGTCCTATACCCATAACATCAGGTGGGACTCCAACCACAGCAAAGGACCTGAGCACCCCCAGGACTGGGAGTCCCAGTTGTGCTGCTTTTGAGCGTTTTGCCAGGAGAACAGCAGCTGCTCCATCACTGACTTGGCTGGCATTACCTGTTGGAACAGATCTGTTAACATCTTTTTTGCCTAAGCACATTCTATTACAAGGCAGGTAAACCACAGGAACAACACAAATTTAACAACAGAGCTGACCTGCTGTAGTGCTACCATCCTCTTTGAAGGCAGGCTTCAGCTTTGCCAAACCTTCCAGGGTCGTGGAGGGCCTAATCCCTTCATCTTGGTGCACGGTGATTGTTTTTTGGTTGCCCTGATCATCTAGAACAGTGGTCTTCACTGGAACAATCTCAGTTTTAAACAGTCCCATCTGCTGAGCTTTTGCTGCTCTGTTAAGGAAGAGTATAAAAAGTTAAAATATTCTGGAAGTGAACTGCAAGGGAACTAACACCAAGGAAGCCAGCTAGTAAGAGTATGAACTAAGGTGTGACTTCGTATACAGGCACATCATCACTGAGCAGTGGATTGGAAGACAGGCAAATACTTATTTCCATTCATGGGAAGACAAACTTCTTGCCTCTACGTCACAGGAAATAAATCTCTAACGTTATGGGCATTCTCCCCAAACCCGAGTCACAGGATCACACACTTCTGAGCAAGATCCCCGTTCTGTTCTCATCAACACCTTTGTGACCGACCACCAGCAGCCCACAGCATGAAGCTGTACTTGTCCAGTAGTACAGTCACACCACAATTGTAACAAAATAAATGAATCCTGATGTTCAAACATGAATTCTTATTTTTGAGTTTAAACAGGGCAAGTGGGCTAAGCCTCTACATAACTAACGATTTCTGACAAGTTAGGGAATGGCTAAAGTTCCACTCATTCCTGGTTTTGTCTTGCTAAAGACAAGTTGAGCTTCTGACCACAGACTTCAGGTATAATCTTCTGGCATTTAAATGTAACCTTTCAACCCTAAATGATTGCAATTTATGTTGCATAGTTCAGTGTGACTTCATAGAAGGGTATCACCTAATTTAGCAGTAAAGGTGCAGCAAAGATAGGGTCTGGTCCCTGAGAAAGCAACATTAGTAGTAGGGAACAACTGACATGACTGGACTGATAAAAGTAGACAGAATGCAATTAGCTAAATTATAATTAGCTCAGGACACACAGTTTTAATCTTTCATATCAACAAGGTGTTTAAAAGCCTTCACAGTAAAGCTGATATAGATTTCCCTTCCAGCAGCAGAGCACCCTTTACAGGGAATACAAATTGGAGACCGAAAGCTTGTTTTACTCCCGCATCACTTTACGCTTTTACTAATAAAATGAAAATATTTAATACTCCCAGGTAAGCGAGAGTTAGAGCAAAGTGCTGAAGGACAGATCAGTAATTCTGCAGACATCCTGAGACCGAGGCCAGAAAATCACCCCTTTCCTCATGCGAGAGGCGAGGATCGCGTTCACATAGCCTTTTGCGTTATCAGTTCAATGTCAGTGAGAAAGGCTGGCATGCCAAGTTCCCTAAGAAGCAGAGCCAGAATTTAAAGGTTAACTGGCCTGTGCAGTGGCTTCCTGTATTAGATAAATAATTGGACCGGGGTGATGCTTAAACAGAGCCCTGAAAGTTAGTTTAACTCTTTGATGGCAGCAACTTTAACATATCACCTGCCACTGGACTACCAGTACAGCCCCATGGATTCCAGAGGTCAGTTGACTTTGGCAGTGATTTAACCTAAGAGGAAGGTTATTAGAGGTAGAATTGGACTCACTTGGAGCCAAACACCTGCAGCAATACAAGCCACTCTTCTCATAAGCTCAGCAGTTCTCTAGAAACTGCTACATTTAAACATTCCCTCTTAGGAAAGGTTCCTTCTGCTGCCACTCCCGCGTTCAGTTTCACATGATACTGAGCCAAAGCCACTATGAAAATACTGCACCATACATTCGTTTCATGAACCTCACAGAGGTTGTATCCTTTGGATGCTGAAAAATACAGGGGCACTCACTGCTCAAGGCTCGCAAAATTAGTCACACAATCCCCAGTACAGCTCTGGGCTCGGGTTTCATTATCACACAACCCAGGACATGCACTGATCTTCGTAAGCTTCTTTACTCACTATTAAGGTTTGGAAGGCAACACGAAGGCTGCACTTAACCACTCTTGGGAAGTAGCAATGTGTTTTCCATCTGTATTTATTCCTTAACTAAAAGGTTTGGGGCGGGGGGGGGGAAGGCATTTACTTTTGTTGGGAAGCCAAGGCAAAGGCATCTTGCTTCTCTCGGGAAACTCCAAACTTCTCTGCCACATTTTCTGAGGTTATTCTGGGGAAAACAAAATCACAGAATTAATCCAACGACACAGCTGATGGAGCTGCAGTTAGCTCCTACTAAGACAACACAAGGTACAACCAGTGGCTTCAGTCTCAAAGCTAACTGCTGCCTTCTCAATCTAAAACTGCTTAGCAGAAGCAAATCCTGAATCAAATCTAGGACCAAAACAAGGTTCAAATCCATTCTCCTTGCTCATTAAGCTGTTGAGCTTAAGACATACGACAAGGAAATCTTTCATCAGCGTCGCTGATCTCCCCCCCATTTCACGCAATTAATCTTCTACCACAACCAAGGAGGATGCGACACATACAGACCCAAGCTCACCGCATTCAGATTGATTTGAAACAGTACTGTCACCGAAGAGACAGACCACCTAGAAAACCCTTGAACTTTGGGCAGAGGAAACACTTACCCCATAGGAATAAGGCAGTCTCGAGCTTTGCTGTTTTCCATCATACTGGAACTGATATCACCAGGGTTATTTGCACTTCTAAGGGACATCGTTTCCACGCTAAACACAAGACAAATTTAAATTTGCTACCGGAGCTTTCATACTATATTTCTGGTAATTGCTCACTTAAGACTGATCAAAACTCAAATATCTTGACAACATGCTTTCCTATCACCCTACAGAAATGCAGCTAATAATTAAGAACTGGCTGAGGCAGTAGCTCTTCAATCATCAATATAAGAATTACCGTGAAAAGAAAACAGATTGCTGATTAAATTGATCCTTGTTTCACTGGAACAGGACACCAATGTCAACAGTTAATTTCTTGTGTGTCCACAGCTAGGAAGGAATTGCTAATGATTCTGGCACTTTTGTCCTCAAACATAACGAGAAACCTAAGGTCCTAGGACTGGAATTTCCAGTGAGATTGTCAACAGCCATAAAAATGCCACTTACAGCTTAAGAACTGGTTGGCAGTATAATAAGAAAAGTATTAAGCAAACCACGATAAGAGACTTCAGTGAGTTATGCCATTTGTATTTTGCAACAGAATTTAAGACATGGATCCCAGAGGCTGCAGTCTTTGACCTACAAGTGAGTTAACCCATTGAAGATATCCAAATTTACTGCAGAAACACACAGCCATCACTTAAGACTAGTAAGCTTTTGTAAAGTCGGTCTAGACGATGAAACCTACAAGGGGAAGAGGGTTCGAATTCTACTCTGCACCACATGAATACACTCATGAAGAGTAAATAACAAACCATTCATGGAGAACACAAGACAAGCAGAAAATAAGGTTTTTCACCAAGCAGCTTATTGTAAGTGCTATCAGGAATTTAAACTAACTCTAATATGGGACACTGTATTACCTGACTTCAGCTGCATCTACTCCCTGAAGGAAGGTATAGAATCAGGTTTTAAGTAAGAGCAAACCACAGCTACTGCATTTTGTGTTGTCATCCAGTATCTCTCCACCTACAGTGTGGGTGAGTCAACTCAGGGGAAGAGCATGACTTGGGTTAAACTCAACTCACAACAGCTATTTGTAACTTACTGATTTTATTGTCTTCATGAAGGACCCTGCAGGGTAAATGCCAGAAAACTTCTCACAATGAAACCCTGATGGCTTGCATACCCAAAGGTGCAAAGGCTGGATCCCAAACCCTTTGAGCCTTTTAGTACTTTTAAGTGTATCATTTTGGTGGACACTGCCAAGCAACTTCTTGAAACGAGTGTGTTAAAGTGAATGAGTGAAAAGGATCATGTGTTCGAGCACAAGCTTTCCCTGTGAACACCAAGTGCTCTGCCTACATCAGAGGAACATGCCTGTCTTGCTGAGCTGTTTATTTCGCAGCAGTCTAAGAAGGGAAGGGCATTCTCAACATCAGATCTTGCTCAGCCAGGTACGTGCAGGTGGTGAGAAGTTGTAAATATAAACATTTTCCTAAGGACTACCAGATGACTTTGTGCAGTAATAATTCAAGAAAGACTTAGAGTTACCAAGGTAAGGAAAAATAGAAACCCAGTATTTTAGCCTCAGGATTACTCAATACTTTTTTTTAATTCGTTCTTCTGAAGTGAATGTGTATGTGGTTACTAGTATTTCTCCAAAGCCAACCTAACATTTACATAATCCTCTAAAAAATAAACACTTCTTATGACGTTAGGACCGAAGCAAAGAACAGCACACCTGTCCACTGCAGAAGAACATCTCCTGTAAGTCTGTAGAACAGTTATTAGCATGAGTAGAACATAAATTTCTTTATCTAAGACAGCTGGTAGTCTTCTAAGACACTAGTTAATTGGAGATTAGTTAAAAAGCTAATTATGGCAGGCTCCTTCAGACTGTCAGAGCTCTGCACACAAGTGGTACCCTACAGCAGGGCCAGAGGACCCTAATAAAACAGGCTTTTCACACGCTTATAAGAGATACACAGCCTCTTATTGCAACCCCAGCAGACACGTCACCAAGACCAAAACTTCCAGGAGAATTAAAGGATTTTCAAGCATCCTCCCTCAGACCCTTTAAGATGACCCAATCTTCTGTGAAAGTACTCAGCAGCCTCTGGAAATACACAAATTGCATCTGGAGCCACCACTTAAATTCAGGTCCTAATTTTAGAGTTTATTCACCCATTTGTCAAGTGAGGACAGCATCTATTTCCTTGGCAGGGGTCAGATCTGGCTGGAAGGGGTTTCTAATTCCTCACACAAGAACTATTGCAGAGGGACAGAGTGCTACCTTCAGAAAGCCTAAGGAAATACCATAAAAAGACTTTCTTACCCACAGGCCAAGCCAATGTCATATGATCCATTTCGGATACCACCTGTAACAGCAGTGCACAAACATTCTTACTATCAATAGGAGCAAAAGCATTTCCATTCCAGCTGTGGTTTCACGAACATCTGAGGCACCCACTACAGCCAAATGGGGCATTCCCTCCGCCCTACCGCCTGCCAGAATGTGAACCAGGTCAAGGAGCTGATGGGGCTGAAGACTAACCGTGACCTGACATGCAACCAGAGAGGACTGGAGGGACACTTCTAGAAGCTGCCTGATATGGAAGTGATGGCAGAACTTACGCTCAGTAAACAAGTTACTTCTCTAGGGGTAAACTCGACCGCTCAAGGATATAAAAGTATTCAATTAACAACAAACTGAAAATTCCTAACAGCAGAAAACATTATTGCTATTTTTACTGCTCAGAGATTGGATGACAGGAGAAATGAGTACTTAGGGTGGGGCAGGCATCAACTCCGATCCAAGTGCCCATAACACTTACCAGCTATATTGATAATGGCCTGTAGCCCGGAGGAGCACTGCCGGTTCACACTCGAGCATGGCACCGTCTCTGGAATACCACTAGAAAATAAGGCAGTGTTGGCAAATACTCAGTGACAAAAACCACCCAACAATCCAAACCTCTAAAGAGAGCATTAAGCCACTTGATTAAATTTTAACCCTCAAGTTCAAGACAGATCCCTTTATGCATTTGTTGACCTATCTGGTCCTGCACCAAAAGAAAGCAAAGTTCATAGATAATTTCCACACTTGATCTGCGAGCGGCTCTGAGTGCTTCCCCACAGGTCTGTCTTCAGAAGGTCCTCTGTAAGCAGGGCCCTCTCGTGTGCCTACTTCCCGAGCTCTGATTGGGGCCAGAAATACTGAAAAGCTCTGCATTACCCACAATTACTGGTGGGCTCTGTCTGCACGTCTCCAAAGTGGTAATCATACACTGATTTACAGAAGCAAACATCACTTGGCAACAGACGCTGACTGAAATATTTGGAAGCTGGGATCCAGCTCAATATGAGCCATCGACCACCAACACTAGGAAGTGAACAGAAAGACTTGAGACAACTCGATGGTTTTGGGACCACGCAGAGCAGAGAGAAGTGCAGCCCTGCAGTACAGAGAAGCTGCAGGTGCAGCTGGGAGCCCACAAAACAAGATCTCCCGTTCAGAGGCTCAACACAGGCAGCACAAACAGATTAAACAGCCTCACCTCTGCCTCCCTGTCCCTTTGCCAACAGGATTCTCCCTACACTCAAAAGTCTAATTTCTAGGCAAAAGGTGATTTGCTGTAACTTCCTAGGAGCGCATGAGCCTCATTACAATCTCTGACCCAGTGCTGCTCCATAGCCAAAGCCTGAGAAGAAGAGGAAGAACCTTGATCTGGTTGAGAGTTTACCTTAGAAACTGTGCAACTCTTGCAATCAAAGCGCCAGCTCCAGGCTGCAGCACGTTTCCTGAGTGCAAAGATACGATTCCAGTCAGTTGGTTGCATGTCCCTCACTATTTGCTGCACACATCGAAGGGATGTTAACATCATCATGGCTTAGTCCTGTCTGGCACCCAGATCAGAGCCCCACCACTCGACAGAACAGTTGTGAAGGACGCACTGATTTCACAAACCTAACGCTACGCGCTAACCCCTTCCAACCCCGCAACACTTGCAAGTATGGGACACCAGGAGCAGCCTATCCCAGAGAGCTATCCCAGATCAGGAGTTTCAAGTTTGGACAGAGATTGTTCACTCACCCACACAGATGTCTCCCAGGACCTCAGGACGAAGACTGACATCTTGAAGGACAGCTGTCATAACAGCAGACAGCAGTTCATCGGGTGTAGTATCCTAAAAGCAGAGGGGATTAGCACTACTCAATAAACACTGTTAACTGCCCTGTCAACAGTTCACTCTCAGGTTACCTCAAAGGGCAAGCGTACAACGCTTAAGCAGCTTTACTCCACTTCTCAGCTCACGATGGTTGTTGTTTTCCTACAAAAGCAGAATTACTCTGCATGTTTTTTACCCCAGGTATCTTTCAAGCACTGTAACACACACACCGCTTTCTTAGCTAGCTTGGTTTTATATGAGCACGCTTTGTAGGGCCTTCAAAACCAAACAACTCCGGTGAGTTACATGACAAGACTTAGCAAGTAGAACCCCTCGGTTTACTCTGTGAGAGGAACAAAGGTGACCCCTCAGCTGGTGGGAAGCACCGCCGGCATGAGGAGACCTATTCTGAAGGATGATGAGCGACACGCACCCTTTGGGGCCATCCTGGCACCATGCTCTCGCCTCGGTCAGAGCCCCAGGACTCATCCAGTGAGGAAAAGGGCCACTCCAGGAGAAGGAGAAGGGCGGCAGGCCTATGCCACCCGCCATCGGTACCCCAGCGAGCCGTGCAGGCGAGGGAGATGCCGCTTCTCCAAGCGGTTGCTCTGCTTGACCACAGCAGGTGAAAGCAGCGTGGTAGAGACCTACCCCAGGCTTTAAGGGGAGCCGGGAAACTCGTTGGTACACTGACTGAATTTGTTTTGGGGGGGATGCTAAGTGGTCCTGCCGCACCTGGGCCACATCCCCGCTCCCAGCGTTAAAAACATGAGGAAACGTTGTCTTTTAGACCGCTCCAGAGCCCCGCGGCTGAGGGGCAGCGAGCAGGCGGGAGTCCCCAACTCCCTGTCAGGGGGCTCAGCGCTTGAGGGGGGGCCTCAATGCCTGTGGGGGGGCTCAGGAGGGCCCAGCCCCCGAGGTGGGGAGGCGGGCAGGGAGGCCGCAGTACCGCCGGGAGGGGGGACAGGCGGGCAGGGCCCCCCCCCCCATCCCCGGGCCGTACCTTGAAGCCGCCGCGCTTGGCGCGGCCGATGGCGGTCCTCCGCCCGTGCACCACCACCACATCGTCGGGGCTGGCGGCCCGCGACGAGACCCCGGCCCGGCTTCCGCAGGGTGCGGCTCGAATGCCGGTCCTGGTCCCCGGGGGGGAACCGGCGAGGTGCCCCAGCACCAGCTGCACCCGCCGCGCCGCCCCGCCCGACGGCGCCGCCGCCATCTTGTCGTCTCCGTCGCCGCCGGGGGCGTGGGCGTGGACGCAGCGGGACTCGCCCCCTCGTTTGCATAGTCCCGCCCCGCGATGGCCACGCCCCCAAGGCTTAACCCAGGGTTCAGCTCCCTGCATGGAGGGGGGCAATAATAAATTGAAATAAAGACGCGAAACAAACAAACAAAAAACAACGAAAGGAACAACTGATTAAAGATAAACAAAGGAATAGTAAAATAAATGGATTTAAAATAAATAAAAAAATCAAGTTGATAAAGAAAAATAAACAAAAAAATAATAAAGGAAAGGGGGGGAAGGGGGCAGAAAGGGGGGAAAGGAAAGGTAAAGAAAAAGGAAAAAAAATAAAGACGAAATAGCAATAAAGCAAAGAAGAAAAACAAAGGAAATATTTTCAAATAAAAATAAATTAACAAAAAAAATTAAAATTAAATAAATTTAAAAGGAATATAAAAACCCATGCATTCGGGGCATTTGAACAAAGCGGGACGCCAGGACAAAGGGACACGCAGAGCCGCAGGGTCCAAGAACTGCACAGATTCATTATTTCGAGCAAACCCCACCAACCATCAGCTCCACCCCTGCCTTGTCACCCCCTCCCCCCCCCAGCCCCACTGCCACCCGGGATGGTCATGGTCATGGTCACGGTCACGCCAGGCAGCCCCACTAGGAAAGGACTATACTGGTGTGCAGGGGACAGGCGATGTCCCCCTCCGGCTTCCCCCCCACCAGAGAAAATCATTTCTCGATGGATACATGACGATGCGGCGCACAGGGAAAGCCACGGGGCCTGCTACAGGCAAAATAAAATTCAAAAACAAAACAAAACAACCAAAAAACAACTTTACATGGCATAATATTACATTCTCTTTTCCTAGTTTCATTCTGTACATCGGAACACTGCGAGGGTTTTAAAAAATAAAAAGGCAAAGGCACCTGAGGAGTGAGTCGCACACACGCACACGTGCACACACACGTGTGCACACACACACACATGCACACACGAGCCGCATCCATCCACAGGAGAATTTGGGTGGTTTGAGGGCCCTGAGAGCGTTTCGGGGCAGCCCAGACCCAGAGTGGCCGGGCACCCCGTTTTGCTCTCAAGGCTTTGGAAAGAAGGAAAACACCCACCCATCAATGAAGGGCTGAGAAAATCAAAACCAAACATATTCAATGAAATAGGAGAAAACAGCTTAAAAATGGGTTTGGGTTTTGGGTTTTTTTTATAGCTTTGGTGAAAACACACTTTGTTACCCTCTTCTGACAAAACCCTTCCCAGCCAACACTGATCGTTCTTTTTTCTTGTATTTTTTTCCATCCATCCCATATTACTGAACAGATTGATGGATTTGGTCCTATTCACAGAATAAAATTCTTCATTCCCCCCTCGGAGAAAGGAGACGACTTTAACCCCCCTCCCCGAGGAGGGCTGCCCATCACCGCTGTGGTCGACTGGCACAAACCCCTGGTGCTGTCCCGCCACAGCCCCCCGGCTTCACTGGAGCCCAAGCCTGGATAATAACTGGCCTCCGCAGCTTTGCAGGCAAATTTATAGGGAATCCTTTTAGCTATTTCTTCTAATTTGCCCTAACGCTACCAGTGTTGTTTTGTTGTTTGTTTTTTTTTTAAACTGAAATAACTCGAATTTTTGCTTCTCTTTTCAGAGGTGTGGACAAGGAAATGCTCCCACCGCCACACCCGCGGTGCAAAGTCTTGATCTGTTTCACGTGGAAGAATTCAAGGATGTGTGAAGTCACACGAACAACCAATTTCTCAATTTCCTCTTCAGTCCAAGCAACAGTTTTCATTTTCAATTAAAAACAATATCAAAATAAACCTGTGTTCGACACACTGGCCTGAAGACAGCAACCTCCCAGGAACTGCTTATTTAACCCTTTGCTGAGCTGGGTGGAAATAGCTAATGCAGCAGTGAAGGGAGAGGTGGGATGGTGCAATTAATTTGTCCACAACAACCAAGATCTGATTAATTAATTAATTAGCTTCCAGGGACTCTGTGCATGCTCCCTGCCCAGGTTTTCCAGCAGGGCAGAGCTGGTCAAAGAAGCTGTAGCCCAACTCCGCTTTCAACTGGCTCGTTTTGTCCTACAACTTCAAATATACTGCGGAAAGAAATCTGCTTCCAGCTGCCCTCGACGGACGCAGCTCTGCTCTCCCGGTCTGAGGCTTCATGGTCCTGCAGCTGCTCTCTCAGGCACCACCATGGAGGTGATGTCCCCCTTCCCTGCACCCAGGGCTGGTCCCATGAGGCATGGAGGAGAAGGCACCCAGCCCTCGGCAGCCCAGATCCACAGGCACCGGTCCTCTCTGCCTAATTTTAGGCTCCCGCTTGGGTTTTACGGAGACCCACTGGGATCCTCCTGCAGCTCCACTTCCAAGACGCCTTGCCGTTCCTCCAGCCCCACCGTAGTGGCGTGAGCACGGGTTAGCGGGGCTACGGCTCTACGGCGAGCCGCCCTCGCCAAGATCCCCTCCAGCTCCCACCTGAACCCTGATGGTTCCCAGCACGAACTGGCTGGTGCTCAGCCCTGCCCACCGCAGGCATCGACAGCATTTAAACATCCTTCTGCACGGCCCGTGGCAGAGGTCCCAGGCATCCGTCCGTGGGTGTACCCCACAGAGACCTCCTGCACCCCGAAAAGACCCCCTTCTTCCAAGACTCACACACACACGTGTGCACACACACACACACACACGCACAAAGGCAAAGTCAACACGGCTGCTGCATCATCGCACCCGACTCCGTGTTTTGTGCCGAGTCGAGCATCACTCCTTGATTGTAACCGCTTAAGGCACAGAACAGTATTAAACGCTGCCCCGCTGGAGACTCTGGCTGGTCCCACGACCTCCAGGAGGGTTCAGTCCCCTGTGAACGGGGACACCCAGGTCACCCCAACTCTGTGGTCTGAGGATCATCTCCTCTGGCTTGGCCGAAGCTCCTGTCTGTTCCCCTGCGAAAGGTGGTGGTCGCCACTGAGCATCTTATTCCTCCGCCGGTCCCGGGGATGCTGCCAGCGTCACTGTTGTGCTGGAGGGGGACAGATCCCATGTGCTGCACTTTCCCCAAGAGGTAAGTAACATGGCAAGGGGAGACAACCCCGGTATCGCTGGCGGCAAGGAGGTTACTTGGTCCGAGGCCAGCACCCGCGCAGTCCGGGAAAATCCCTTGCTCCGAATTCCGGGCGCCAACAGTCCCGAGCGCAGCTGGGAAATCCAACAATGTGGCGGGTGCCGAGGCAGCAACGAGCAAGACGGGGTCTGCGGCAGCCACTGCCAGGACAGCCCAGGGCAGAGGTCTGAACCGCAGAGCGCAAAAGGCCGCGGGTCTGGCGGCCACCCCCCTCCCGCCGGCGTTTCCCCATCCCCGCTGCCAGGGGCTCAGAGCCCGCAGTTGACGAAGGGGTGTCTCAGCAGGTCCTCGGCCGTTGGCCTCCGCTTCTCCTCCACAAAGATCTGCTTGAGGAAGTTGCGACAGGAGTTTGAGACGCCGTCAGGGAGCTGGGGGTTGGTGGGCTGGGTGGCGATTTTAAAAATAGCCGCCATGGCTTCAAACTCTGCCCACGGTGGCTTCTCCGTTAACATCTCCACCACGGTGCAGGCCACGCTCCTGCAACAACGCCAAGCACACAGGGGTGAGACAGCGGGTAAGGGACTGGAGTGGCGGCTGTGCATTTGAAGTCTAATGGGCTCTAGGATTGCGCCTGCCTGAACGGACCACGCAGGGAGCAAACCCACACCAGAGATGGGCGCACATCTGGTATGTTTGGCCCCCTGAAGCTCGCTCTTCACACGGGTCCTTGGCGCTGGGCTCTCCACTCCCACGAGCTGGAGTGAACTTGCAAGCCTCGCCCTAAAGCTGGTGGCTTTTCTGGCTACACTAACTGGCAGATATCAAGTTTCATGAAAGCGTGTGAAGGACCTTATTGGTCCCTCAAGGGAAACTCAGGCACAAGTTTAGACACCACAGTTTCAGCAATAGCATGTAGTTCCCCAGGAAGCTGAGCCAGATTGAACCACGTTTGCCTACATCCAATTTCATCTCCGACGTGCATCTGAGAAGGAGCATGTCAGATGAATAGCAAAGAGCCTGAGAGGTTTCCCTGTGCTTGCTGAGGAGTTCTCATCTCAGCAGGGACCCTCTCTGCCACCTCCATTCATAGTTGCTCCTAAAAAACTGAACCATATTTCCCTCTCATCAGCCAGAGCAGGTGGTGCAGGGTACATGGCTGCCTGCTAAGGACTCCCTAGCTTCCCCCCCAAGCAGGGCTCTGTTGGAGGGACTAGTTTTTGTTGACCCTACTTGCTTGGGCACCCAATGGAAAGCATACTGCGAAGACAGTGCTTCCTCCTCATTGGGAGGATTAGTAGTGTTATCTCAACTCTTTCAGGCTCCAGCTGACATCCTCCACAAATCAAAACATTCACAAGCAGCCAATGATTTTGGTTGTCTTCATGCCTGAGCCGTATGCAAACATATAGCAGCAGATTTTGAGAGGCCACACAAGATCCCCCTGAGCCTCTGAGCTGAGTTTAGCTAACCTAAAATCAGGGCCACCAAAACTCAACAGCTCTTTTAGTAAACTTTGTTATCAACCTGCTTTCCAGTACTGAAGAGCAGCTACAGGGATGAGCTGCACATGACCCTCACACATGATAAGAGCTTCCAAAAGCAAGCTGTGATTCTGAGTGCTCCTGTTTTGGGCCCTTCAGCTACAACACGCTCTCTCTGGATATCTGCATAGTTGATCCTAATAGTTAGCTCCTACTTCCATCCTTTGCACTGCTCCGTCTTCCAACTACTAGCTGTTGCTCCCATTACAACTTCCCAATGGGATTGTGCAGTTTAAGCAGCAGTGGTGGGGTTTCTACTGTATTCCTTACCACACATCAGCTTTCCTTCCGTAGCCCTCTCCACTGATAACTTCTGGGCTCATCCAGTACGGTGTTCCCGTGACAGATTTAATCCCAGTCCC